AACTCGGGGTGCTGCCGCCGCTCACGACCTCTTTACGTCATCACGCGTTTCAGACACCGCTGCAAAGACTTGGGCGTTCATAGCGAGAGACTTCACTGCAAACCGTGGAAACAAAGCTTTAAGGTGGCTGTGGAGACGCTGCAGTACATGGGATACAATAAACAAACTCAAAGCAGGCATGCATGCAGGAATTTGATAGCATACACATATGAGAGCATATTAACAGCAAACAGATGGCTCTTCAGTACAAGATGTGATAATAGTGGATACTGACATGTTTACCTAAGTACAGCAGCGATGAATGAAAAATGACCGTATTTATACGCGTTCTAGTCTTCCCACTCAAAGCGCTTTACACTACGGCACATTCACCTTTCACACAATTCACGACACATCACACGTGAGCAAAGCCATCGAACAAAACTAACTCATTCATACACATTCACACACCGAGCGTATGCATCGGACAATTGGTTATGTCTCTCAGGAACTTCAACGTGGCAGGAGGAGCCGTCGAACCAACAACTCCGATTGGACGCCCCGCTCTGCCTCTGAGCCACAGCCGCCAGGGTCCTGCCATTTGCGGTGTTCAAAACTCAATCAAGACATGCACAACAAGTTCTAAAATGTCATATCTTGTGCAGGTGATCAGCGTAAGCTCAGGCTGAAGTTTTGCCAAAATGCTACCATAAATGTTAAAATTATGTCTCCACTTCCTCAATTTTCTTTTTGTCACTATCTGGCTGGTTAGACAGCCCACTGTGACAAATAAATGAGCACGCTAACAGAGTGATAGAAATTGTGGAAACCAAGTGACTAAAGCCTGATGCACATCATAGAATCATTTGTCAGAGACTGTTCCCTGCTTCATACCCAGTCATCATGCAGGGTATGGGGTTGCACGTTAGACAATACTGTTTGCATGCCTGTTTGCAAATCTTGTCTATGCTGACTCAGACGTGATATCAATATATCAGTTTCCTGCACGAAAGGCCAGAATTTTAGGCCAATTCCAAAAGGTGTGCTACATCTACATTTCCAGCATCCCTGGTTATTTTTACATGTACACTCTACAGTTCCAGATGGAGTCTCTTAACAGTTTTTAAATTGACTTAGAAGCCTTAGTTTCTTGCCCATCTCTAACCTTTCCTGTTTATGTTCTCTGCCTTTGTGTTCAGGTTCGTACCCGGGCCCTGGTCACCCTGCAGTGCCACCTGTGGGGCTGGAAGGCAAACTCGGGAGGTGAAGTGCCAGGTTCTTCTCTCGTTCACCAAAACGGAGGTGGACCTTCCAAAGGAGGAGTGTGGCAAGGACAAACCCAATCTTGAGAGGCCCTGCTACCAGGGGCCATGTTCTAAAGTTCCTGGCATCTCTTCAGGCCTTGAGGACCATGGGGCCACTTACATCCAGACAGAGGAAGTGTACAGCTGGGACTACAGGGGCTTTACTGCCTGCTCAGCCACATGTGCTGCTGGTAAGGTTTCTAAGATGGATGTTGGCAGTTGAGTCTTTTGTCTACGCCTACTGTCCTTTCATGTCCAACTGTTTCTTGTCTCTGTCCAGGGAAGCAGAAAGCAGTTGTGAGGTGTGTTAACAGGAAGCAGGGTGAGGAGGTGGAGGACTCTCTGTGTGATTCATCCAGCAGGCCACCAGTAATGATACGCATCTGTGACCCTGAGCCATGCCCTCCAAGGTGAGATACTAGTATCATATGTAACTAGATGACCCAAAGTATTCATTGGTATCAACCATGTGATGCTAGGAAGGAAGGATGCTAAATAAAGCCCCAAAGTTAGGCAAAGTTTTGGTTGGCATGGCCATTTTGAAAATGGGTTCTATGGGTACCTATGGGTACAAGTATCCAATTTGCAGACATGCCCACTTTACTGTAATCCCTTCATTCATGGTAATGAAGGAATGTGTCACTGTGTGCAACAGTGTGGCTCATTGATGTATTTTTAGGTTTTTTGAGGGTTTGAATACAAACACATTGCTTCTGAGTAGGATCAATGATGGTTTGGGTCTTTTTATGGGTTTAGTTGACATAAGAAAAACAGATTAACACCAGACTTATTCTCTAAAGGATTCCTAAAAATACATACATTTGCATGTCACACCCCTCTCTCTCTCAAAAAAACAAAAAAGCATGCATTTAATGTATAGAATTGTGTGCATTTCATCTATGCATGCCATAAATGCTTGTTGCAATTTTACATATTTTACATAATACTAACATATGCGGACAGGACCCAGGGTAAACTTGCCATAAAAAAGCTTACTCAAGACCTAATGGAGTGTCTGAAAGTCCTCCTCTATGGCTGGAAAGTGAACAAAAGCAGCAACACTTTTAACACTTCTTCCCAAATGATTTTCAGTAACAGGAATTACTATCTCTGGCATTACACTAGGGATAGGATTGCCAATTCTTTAAAATTATAGTGGGAGCATCAATCTGTGAATATCAATCACTTCTTTGGAGGTATTTCTGTGATGTTGGCAACACTGGCCCTTATTGACAAAGCTTTAAGGTGGCTGTGGATTTTGGGCTAAAACCATGCAATTGTTTTGCATGTGGTATAAATGTGTTATTTTTGCCTAGTGTA